CAGATAATGTATTCCCCCACCATCAAACAGGCTCCATTTATAGTGGCCAAGTGGTTACGTGCCACACTCCACCTAAGGGCATCATAGAATCTAAATCGCAATCAAAGCTGACCTGGTTCTCCTGGTTACTTATTTGAATGTTAATGCTTCCGGCAGCGTATGCAAAGCACAAAACCTGCTAGCCCACGCTATAAAAGGAGAAGCTCTTGTGTTATTTATGCCGCTGCTTAGCTCTGACTTTGGTGGATTCGTGCAAAGGTAGGTGTGGGGCTGCTGTTGCGATACAGAGACAAATGCAATAGCCAGTGGGCAGCAGGACAGGCCTATATGCTTCACTGTGGGAATGACACTCTTTACACTAAGGGCCAGATTGGGAGACGGGCAGGGTCTTTCCCAGCAGGTGCACTTTGTACCTGCAAAGTTGTATTTAGAATTGAATTGCAGGAGCAACTCAGATTGTTTGCACCTCTGCCCACTGCAGGGAGAAGGGCAAATATTCCATTTGGTGCCTGCAGGTTCATTGGTGCAGGCAGATTGCACCGGTGAACAGGGAGACTGGGCCTCAGACCCCTGAAATTGCACCTCTACAGGTATCCCGGAGTCTGGAGTCCCCAGCTGCTGCTGGAACCTTTAATTTCGAGGTGGCAGGAGGAAATGGGAACTGGACTTGGAAAGAGCTGGTAGGGGGGAGAGTGATCAAGACGACTGAGGAAATTGGTATTTGTTAACGCGCTTTTCACCTAGGACTCGGGTTTGGCTGGTGTTAGACAAGTTGTTCTTGTCCGGTGGCTGTTTGGTATTGGCTTGAGAGGATTTGATTTTTACCAGTAAATATTGATAAACGTCAATTTCACCACACACACTAAAGTGAGGAGAACTATACAATAGTTCCATCCATGAGGATGGAAATGTACAAAGAGGCGAGATAAGAAAAATGCTCTGAGAGAAGGTTTCAGAGTTTGATTTTTAGGATCTTTACTTTGTATATTTTGACATGTGATGTTGAGCATTTGTGGTTCAACAGTTAAAGCTTTCATTTTTGGAATTGCAGCATCCACTGGCATTAAACAATTGGCTGCCCCTCCCCAGCCCTTGTCTGACCTTCCTCCCAGAATTTCCCTCAACAGTGAAAATTCATATAGATAAAAATCTAAACATAAAAATTGATATGATCCATCCAAATCATCACAAACAAGAATCAAATTCTGCCAAGCCCACCTGTGTGCAATGAGTTGGTCTCAGGGCAGTTCCTAGTAATATGGAGAGCTGTCCACATCACCAAACCATCACTGTGACAACTGGCACTTCATACCGCCCATGCTGGTAGAGAAATGACATATGCATATTGAACCCCACTGGAAGACGAAATAGGGGGAGCCTGCAGGTCAGGCCTGAAGCATGTTGGTAGGACAGGGTGTGAGGGATGTTTGCCCTGCAGCTGCTTGAGGCACAGCAGAGAACCAGGGCCGTCAAGCCAGCACCTTTCAGCCGCACTATCTGCGCCCAATTTAATATAAATGTAATATGAATGTTGCTTGACTGATTGACAACACAGCAGCTAAGGGTCTGGCCCAGCGTTTGCAACCATAGCCAGATTCCGATAGCTTTACTTGTGCTGAATAGCACCTTACTCCATCCGAAGTCCCACTGACTTCAGTGAGGCTACGTGTAATGTATGACTCAGGTTAAGGGTACCAGAATCTGGCCCTTAACGTCCTATTAGATCCAGGAGGAATCTCTGAACTATTCCTTGCATGCTCTGCAGGAAAGCAATGCTTTTTTCCCTTTGGGGCTTCAAAAGGGTCTCCTGGGCTTGTGACGCACCAGGAGAACGCTAGGTGAGGCAGACGGCAAACTAACTAACCCGCTACGTTTTATAACAACAAACTCGATAGGTTCTATCTCCTTGTTGGAATCAGGCCCCTGAGAGTCAAGGACCTGAAAGGTATTTGAGAGCCCCACTCCTATTGAAATTAATGGGAGATAGGTGTTCAAATAGCTATGAGGACCTGGGCCAAAGTGACACAGGAAGTCTGTGGCAGAACTAGGCGTAAACGCCAGGCCTACACCCTATCCACGGGACTATCTTTCTTCCAGCCTACCTGCCTTGTTAGAGATTAGACACTAGGAAGCTGTGCTCAGTTGTGTTTGCCAACAGCCAACCGTTAGAATGGCCGAGCCTGTCTCCGGTGGTTGGACCTCCTCTGTGTCCACTGGCAGATTAGCCCTATGCCCAGGGACTCCCAAACTTGGCTCGGAGATTTATCGAGCATTCTTTCCTCTGACCCGGGGCCTCTCCCCAGCTGTCTGAAAGCCCCTCACACGAAATTGGTCTTTCCTCTCATATCCAGACTTAGTGGGTATCTGCATGTGTAGCCCCAGCGACTCGCCCAAATCAGAACATTGGTGGGTCTCTCCCAGGTATCCAAAAGGACGCCTTCCCCAGGCTCACTGAGGAAGAATGGTGTTTGGTTGGTCTCCCCTGGAAGTCACTCGTTGCATCTCTCTTAGTTAACCCTTCCCCTTCTGAATCCCAGGTTGCTTATATTCAGATGCCACGTGTAAGTGTTGTCCTAACATCCCAGACAAGTACATTTGGCTCTTCTCTGACCCCGAGACACACAATGCCAGGAGCTTCTCAGTCAGCAGGATCTGGGCCTGGTTTCATCCAGGGAAGGCAGGACTCAGAATGAAGGGGCTGTGGTTAGCAAGTACCATGTGTCCAACCCACTTTGGAGCTTAGCCTGCTGTCTGACTACTTCTGAAAGGCAGATATTTACATCAAGGCTAAATCCTTCATTTCCATCAGTCAGGAACAGCTGCCAGCTCTCCCTCCCCATGCAGCACTCAAAAAGATTTGTTAGTCAAACGATAATGCCGTCTGATGCACTATGCAAATTGCAGTGGGGAGGGGGATCAACACGGGGGAGAATTACTTTCAAATGAACACACCAGCCCGACCTAGTTCCTTAGTGGTAGCCTCAGACTGAGCAGCAGCCACCCTTGATGCATGGGAGGGACCCCTGGTATGATGCAGGTGCATCATAGAAAGAAGAGAGTGAAGGGCAACAGCTGTCAAACGACGGTGCAGCTCTGGCCTAAGAGTTTAGAGAGGTGGAGCTGGGTGGCAGTGAAGGAGCTGCAAACAATGAGCCCCTGGTAAAGGTCTGGAAGGACATCTAAGGGCATGGCAGGAGCAGATTTGGGGGGGCGGGAAGTCAGTGCCAGGGACCACAATGAAGGGTAGCCAAAGCTCAGCTTCCTGGCATCACCTCACTGACCATTTGCAACCCACAGTGGTGACGACAGCCAGAGACCGTGGAGAATGCACGGTGAATATGCCGAAGGGGGGATTCTGCCTCAGCAGATCCTAATTCCCAGGTTGCGAGTTCATTTTGTTTGAACTCTTATGGCAGGGCTATGTGGGAAGCCACCATCACCGGGTAACCATTACGCCCGTTACACCCAACAGGTCCCGGGCAAAGGGGCGGGCTGCACAGAAAGCCTTGATGTGTTCTTGACAAGCCACTTCATCTGTGAACGGCAGGGCAGAGCTCTTTCCCAGAGAATAGACACACCCGTAGGAAAGCTCATTTCCAACGGCCGTCCAACACGGACGTGTTCAGCCATGAAGGGCTAGAGCGGGAGGGAACGAGCTATAACCAACGCACCTGAGGAGGAACGGGCTTTGGGAGTATTAACGAGTGCAAATTTGCCTTTGTTTTTTCAGCCCAGGTTGCTTCCACATTAGAAAGGACATTCGTTAAGACCTGCCACCATGGATGAATGGGACCTCCCGCAGTGGAAGAAGGAAGTAGACAGCCTGAAATACCAACTGGCTTACAAGAGGGAGATGTCTTCTAAAACAATACCTGAGTGAGTCAATGCTTTCCCCTGGCCCCTTCTGGCGGCCGTTCAGTAGCCCACATGGAATGAGTTGGTGGGTCTCAGACCAAGGCCTAGTGGATATACGCCCTCATCTCAAACAGGTCACTCTAACAGGCACTTTGGACCACACTGATATAAATTGGAGTAGCTCCTTTCAGGTCAATGGAGCCGTGCTGATATGCACCAGCTGAGAATCTTGCTCTCTCTGTCAGCAGCCTCAGCAGAAAGGCTAAAGATGAGATAGACTTGGAGACAAGAAAACCCCTCTAGGTGCTCCGCATAGTTGGGAGGAGTGAGGTGCATTGGCAGGCCCTGCGGGAAGCGGGCCCCACTGCTGGCCCCACATAGGACAGCAGACTCCAGGGTCTTGAATCCAGCGCCCTTTGCCAGAAATAAATTGGCATCAAGAAGACCAGGCCAGCAGGAAAGATTTGCCCAGGATAAGGGATACGCTAGGTTAACATATGTCTGCACCTAACTTTAGTTTAGCTCTGTTTTAGCCATGATTGGGTTGGATCAGCTGTTTCTCAGCTCTTTCCCCCTGGATTAGAAAGCAAAGGACCCTTCCACTTTGGTGACCTGCTCATGAGGTGGTGGTAGCTTGCAGGGTTCCTGCTTTAGTCCAGATTTAATGGGGGCCATGCACCCCTCAGCGCCCAGCAGGCCTGCAGATAGTGCTCCCTGCAGAGCCAGGCTGGAAGTGCACCTAGAAACATTACTTCCCCTCTCCGCACCCACAGCCTGGATAAGTGCATGTACAACAGAGTCGCTCTGCAACACTTGTGCCAAATACATGTGCAAAGGCAGGCAGCTGCCGGTGCAAGAGAGAGGGAGCTGCCACTGAATTTGCATTTACCTTTGAAAATCTGCTCTGTCAGGTGCTTTTGTATTATAAAACTTATTGCACTGGGGACAACTCCATAGTGCATGTGGCAGGACCTATTCCATTCTAGGCATCTCTCCTGGCTTCTGGAAAAATTCATACGACTTAATGACTTTGTTAAGTTCCAAATCTTTGTAGAGTTGTGCAAATTCTTTTGAGAAAGGAGCCTTGCACTGTTCATTTAAGCCCTGGTAGCTCTAAGAATCCAACTCAAGACCTATCTAGATAGCAGAAGTGCCGACCCAACTGCTCCCAGACTGATGTTCCCATAGCATCAGATGCAGCTGCCTTTGCATCATCCTCTGCCCCACAGAAAGCTCCCACCCCTTCGGGCTTTGAGATTGCTCCCCACAGAGGGATGCTGAGAAATCTCTCACCTGTTACATCAGCAGCTCCAAATCCTCAAACAAACATGGAGCCTGCCCAGAAAACGAGAGAAACAACAAAGGCTGGGCTCTTTTTATTTGCCGTGGGGTTTCTGAGCTGCTATGGGGGTTATGTCTTTATTGAAAGCTGAGATTCGCACAGACTCACCTGACTCTGGGACGGGGGCTTTAAAAACAAAATACCAAATATTGAGAAAGCCGGCAACACTGCAACCTCTAGCTGAAGTGTGGAGGGGGGCTAAATCGTTAGCAGAGATTTGAAAGTCCACACAGTCATGACCGTGCCCGGTGACTCACTTCCTGTGTGCTGCTAAGGTCGCAATCCTTCCAGGTCTCCAGCCACAAAGCCAGCTCACTGTCCTCCTTCAACACCCTCTTTAAAACTCTCCTCTGCTGTGAAGCCTACAACAAATGTTACAGTGGTTAGGCAACTGGTGTGTTGCGATCACTGCCCATCCCATTGACCTATATCGTCTCATGGTTTCCTCATACTCCCCCGTCTGCCTGCATCCGTTTTCTCATCTTAGTTTGTGGCACGGACTTTTATGTTGTATTTGTACTGCACCTAGTACATGGTCCTTGACTGGCGCCCCTCGGCACACTCAAATTATTAACAATCACCTGTAAGAATATAGTGAAACCTGCCCTAGAAACTCATCTGCAAAAGAAAAAAGCCGAGCCTGGTCTCTGCGGGATGAATAAATTTGCCGCAGGAACTTTGGGGCCCCTTTCAAGTGCTTGTTTATGAGACTGGCTATTGCACGTGGAGCCCCGAGTGTTGTTTCCACAAGAATAGAGACGGTGAGTGAGGTACTAATGTCAAACACCCGCTCACCTCCACCTGGTGTAGTCCCCAAATCCCCACCCCATAAGCGGCTGTAACAGCACATGACTGTCTGTCTCAGGCCTCGAAGTTAGAAGGGAGGTGCTTTGCTGGGGGCAGGCCCGGAACAAAACGGGAAGCTGCAGCGGCAGAGATGCGGCCGCGGGTGCATGGACAGTGCAGGCTCACCGTGCCCCGCTCAAATCGGTACCGTCAACACTTGAACAGGAACAGGTTTAACAGCAAAGGGCTGCAATCCAAACTCACACACTGGGCCCCGTTCTGACTGCGGGGGTCGCCTGAGCGTGCTGCGACAGTCCGGGCTGTGGGTGCTGGCCAGGGGAGGGTCACTGCCCAATGGCTGCAGAGACAATGCTCACAAGTTTAACAGCAGCTGCTTTCAAGCGCGAGCGACAAAGCCTTGGCGAAATCTGAAGCGGGCCCAGCCCTGTGTGCTGAATACTTTTCCTCACCAGGCTGTGGAGGGAGAAATACAGATTACAGGCTGATTAGTAGCTTGATTCGTCTCTGAAACCTTCCAACTGTGCCCCAGAATACAGCATTCTGGACGGTCATGAATATCAGGTGAAACCAAATGGTTCTGGTACCAGTGGCATCTCCGAATGATGCATTCTGGGAGGAGGATGGCAAATCTAGCAGAGGCCAGTGGTTTCCTGCGGGATGAAAGAAATGAGAGATGTTCATTAAAATGCATTGCATTGTTACAATCTCCTCCACAGCTTGGTGATAAAGACATTCAGCTCTGACCTGTCCTGTACACTTAAGCCTTTGTGTTTCACACTCTGGGCAGTGATCTTCCAAGCTTTAGAATACACTTGCTTGTATTAAAAAAAAAATTAATCTCCTGATGGGTAACCCATTGCGCGTGTGAATGGCACAGTTCAAAGCCAAGGAGTTTTAAACCAGAGGTTCTCAAGCTGTGGTCTGCAGAAGGCTGACAGGCCACACGATGCTGACTCCTCATTTTCAGCTGCTAATGCACATTAGCAGAAATTCGGAGGACCTTAAATGCTTCAGGGCTGTTACTTTCCCGTATAATCACTGTAGCCTGGAGGTGTTAGGTGATCGTGAATGAGAGGGGACCATAGGTCCACGCCATCATGAATGGGAGTGAGGCATCCGAGAGACAATCGCGTTATTAAAATGTGACCCACGCTGTGCTGTAGCGGAGGCATGCCTTCTGGAAACAAAGTAGCTGAAAAATTATCTGCTCATTTGTCTTCTCCAATTACCCGAGTCTGGGGTCTCCTGGTCACCGGAGGGCAACGGGGGCACCAACACCACTTAAGATGGTTCCCCAAACCGCTCTGCTCCAGGTGGCAACTTTCAAAGAGCTTAAAGCTGCAAAGCTCTCTAGGATCTTTTGGGACGCAAGGCTCTTTTTACTGAAAAACGTGTACAGTTGTAACTGAGCCTGTCGCTACCGCCCATTCAGGAGGATGTGTGACCTCAGAGACCTGGGGACGTGATTTGCCTAACACTGTAGAACTCGTAACAGAACCTTTTATGCCTGTAGCATCTGCAGTTATGCCAGATCCCCATCATGAAGGCACCAGATCAGCCCGGGGGGGGAGCGGGTGTACATGCACCCTTGTGCCTGATCACTGCGGGTGTGGATGTGGGAGCCACAGAATCTCAGCTCCACACACATACACAAACACACGGCAGATACGCTGCTGCTTCTATCAATAAAGGGGTGGAAGCCACCCACCTTCCCTCCCTGTGATCCCTCATAGATCTGACTATGCGAACAGGTCACATGCCCAGGGTCGGAAGCTCACGCAGAGACCTGCCACCCCACACTTCTCTGTGCTCTGCCTCTGACAGGCTACACCCTTTGGGTACGTGGGGGAGAGTAAGGAGGAGGAGGGGCGTAGTCAGCAAGACACGTGAAAGGGAAGATACACTGAAAAGTAAGAGAAGTGAAGTCAGGACAGAAAGTTGTAAGTGTAGCTGAACACCGTGCCAGGAGTCTTGGGGGCAGCTCACCCACTCAGACATCCCAAGGGCAGCCTGCTGAGACTGGGTGCGAGGGATGGACAAAACTAAAGAGCCAAATATAGCCTCAAAATGCAAGAACCGCTGCTCACCTGCTAAGTTTCCTGCTCCCAACACCACAGAACAGCCCACAGGGCTTCGCCACCACCCTGGACAATGCTGTGTGCTGCGTCCAATTCAGCTTACTCCAACAGCAGCAACCCCACAGCACTGGGAAACTCAGAGTCTGGGCGTTGAGGGTTTAGCGTTAGAGAAGGTGGGACGGCTGGGTTCTCTTCACAGTCACACTCCTGACTCTTTGTGTAGCCGTGGGCAATCTGGTTAGCCCCCTGGTCTTTTGAGGATACTAGTATTTTACCTACCTGACAGGATGGCCGACTGAGAGATGCCATGGGGACGCTAAGTATCATTACTGCATAACGATGAAAAAAAACTTTCTAGCTCCACTTCAGCCAGAAAAAGACCACGAGAAACGCACAGAGCCATTTAACTGCCCCGCCTCTCCCCTCTTCTCTGCAGGTTGATGAAGTGGATAGAAGATAGCATTCCAGAAGACCCATTTCTGAATCCAGAGCTGATGAAAAGCAACCCTTGGGTGGAAAAAGGAAAATGTACCATACTCTAATGTACCTAAATCCAACTTCACTCCCAAGCAGCAGTGGCTGACAAAATGGCTTCCTCCTGAGATATTCAAGTTTGCATTAACTCTGAATGTAAATTTTTTTTATTAGTTTCCTAATATGACTAACTGTACAAACACTATCCTCATCTTGTCTTATTATTTTTATTAGTAGAAGCGATTCTTTTTTATACTGAAAAAGCACATGCCATAAGAGTAAATTGGTAAGAGATGCAATGTATTGGAGAATGGCTGATTAGCAGCATCAGAGTGGGGACTTGAAAAGCAATGTCAAACAACGGGCAGAAGGTTTCTCTTGATTAATCCTGTAGTTTTCAATTAAGCTTGAGCTTAACTATGCTTCTGTGAACCTCGCAGAGCCTTTGTAAAAGAAAAACACTTTTATAAAAAAAATTTCAATACTTTTTTGTATATTGTAGAATATACAATTTTGCAGCAAAGCCGGCGAAATACGAGAACTAAGGGTTTATAAATGAAATAAACAAAGCAATACTTCACAAATGTTCAAAAACATTTATTTTGCTTATTTATTTATTTTTTACAAACAGCTGAATAGAAACTAAAAGACGGAAAGTTCTCATGAACCATACATGTTCTTCAGAAAGCTAAGAGTCACATTTTCCTTTCTGTTCTGTATGTATTGTTTCTTTGGTTTCATTTCTTTACATCATCACTAGAGCAAATCCTTAATGTAAATATTCCGCCTGACGGCATTCGAAACCCCTTCATTAAAGCGGAACCAAACATCGCTCTTTCCAACAGCCTTTCCAATTTGTTTTTCAACAGAGTCGTGCTCGGACGTTTGATTAGCTGATGGTAACCAGAGAAGGTTGGTGGGTGGGGAGAGAAGATACGATAATACAATTAAATCAACGGACTTAAAATGGGAAAGGCTTAAAGTTTAGGCAACAGACTCTCAAGGAAGTACCAATAAGACACTGAAAAGGACGGCACCTGCAAACATTACTGCCGGGTGTAGTGCTTACTACGAGTGCTCCCACAGTCAATTCACTACGCCACACTAAGTGCATTCAGAACTTGGTTCTTACATTCAAAGCCCCTGGTCCTACACACACTTAAGCATCTTGCATAACTTTGCAAAGCTCTGGTCCACATTTCAAAATTAGATCAATCTGGCTACGTCACTCAGGGGTGTGAAAAATGTCCCGCCCTGACCACAACCGTTCGGTCGACCTAACCGCTGGCACAGATGCAGCTAGGTGAACGGAAGAACTGTTCCGTCAACGTAGCTCCTGTCTCTCAGAGATGGATGAACTGCAGGGAAATTCCCTCTGTCAGTGGAGGAAGTGTCTACGCTACAACACAGCTATAGCATAGACATGCCCGAAGTAAAATTATTGCTTAAAACATTTGAAGGAGCAGAACCGCAGCCATATTTATCACTCATTAACTGGGCCTTTGGGTACTTCCATAATGAAATATCCTACCATAGCTGCTCCATGTAGGGGACTGGACTGATGTCATGGCCCAAGTTTCTTTCCAATCCTCCCCTATACATAAATGTTGTCAGACAGTTGCAAAACACACCATGGAAATTGCTCCCCAGCTCCATCCACCCTTTTGAGGAACCACAGTCTGTCTTATTTCAGCATTATGGAACCACAGAAGATATTGCAAAGCTTTCTACTACAGCACATGTTCCCAGTTTCCTTTCATCTCTCCTGACTAATATCATGCCTTTTCTACACATACCTGCTGATGGAGACACCTGCTTCTTAACAAGCTGGCGCCCAAAGAAGTCAGTTTCTGGCTGTGGAAAGAAATCAAAATGGTTTTAGTAGACTCCTCCTCAGCAGATCTCTGGGTACACGTTGGTTATAAAGAGACTAGTGCCAGCCCAGTACAGTTCAACATCAGATGGGATTTTTATCTAGTTACAAACCCAAAATGTGACTTCATTAAGAAAGAAAAAAGTTTACACAACTTATCAGTACAAATGTTTCCTTTTGTTATAGAAGCACAGAAATGTAGGGCTGGAAGGGACCTGGAGAGGTCATCTAGACCATTTCCTTGAACTGAGGTAGGATTAAGTATACCTAGATCACTCTATATTTCAGGCCCTTTCTTTATTCATTCAAATAGCCTGCACAAGTCCGGAAACCCAAGCAAGAAACCTTAGCATGCATGAGAACTAGAATGCAAATGATTAGAAACAAAGCGTGAAAGTGACTGGTCTGATTTCACTGAGAAATGCAGACACTGGAGGGGAAAAAAAAGCAGAAATGGTGACAAATTAAAGTTGTCTTTTTTAAAGAATTGCAGTTTTAATTGGTGCTAGTAACAGGGGGAAAAAAGGAGGGTTTTTGTTGTTGAAAATGGAAGCCATAAACACCATCCCTGTAAGAAAAAAAGAAACAGTTTACAAGGTCTCTGCATAATAAGATGGGATAAAACACCCAGATATAATCAGGTGAAATCCTGGCTCCATTGAACTCAATGGGAATTTTGCTATTGAGTTCAATGGAGCTTGGATGGCACCAGTCAAGTTCGTTTGCCTGTATAGCCTCACATGGACCACACTAGAGTATGTGCACCTGGGGACCACGGGTACGATATTTTATGCATGCTGCACCGCCAATGCCAGTTAACACAGGCACATTTATTTAAAAACAGCAATTCAAGAGGTCGCCCCTTATTTGCAGATGAAAAGTTCAGCACAATAAAGAACAGATGTGAGCACGTGCTCCAGGATCCAGCGGGAAACACATTCTGTGTTTTATTGTTCTTGCTTCTTCATAGTCATGGGGCGGGGGGGGGGGGGAGGGGGGAGGAGGTCATTCCAGTCGAGGTACGTGAATCCACGACTGGTTTTGTTATAAGCAGTAGCAGTGGAAAGTGAGGGGAGGACCCTGTGGTGTGTTAGTGAGTCACACACAGCTCGGGCCTTCTCACCTCTTTCATGGTCCCTGCCCCAGGAGGGGTGAAGGAATTCCTTTGGCTTCACTGGCTCAAGGCAGCCACTGCATTATTTACAGCTGCATCAATCTGCCAGAA